ACCTCCCAAGTGCCCAAAAGATTGCCCAAATGATGGGCATAGAGGCTACCATTCTGGGTATTTGGGAGGTCCAGGTAGACGCAGTGTCCATTGCAACAGGAGCGTCTCCTTGCTACGAGGTGGAAGAAGCAGGCGCTTTGAGTGTGCATTGAAGTCTGGGATAGGGTTTAGGGTCCAAGTTTAAGGGTCTATGTGTTTGAATCCTTAGTCATATGATCTCACTGGTTTCTTCCACGAATTGCAAGCACAGAGGCTCTGGTAGGCTTGGCAGTTGCTATGTGAAAAGCTAATTTTTGGAAAGACTGACAGCAAAGTCATCTTGACATGGAGGCCTAGGACCACCAGTTATCTACTGAAAGCTCTTGTAGTCCCTGTATAACCCCATCTATAATCCTTGTCTAAGCCGTATATATTCCCTGTAACGCCCCTAGATGGGGATTTGAGGCAGTTAGGTCTCTCACGCTTTGGCTATATGTCCGGTAGGTGACCACACCTACTACATGCTTAGTTGGAAATGCGAGACTGGGTTTAGGGTCTAGGGTACGGTCTCAAGGGTTTAGGAGTTTCAAGTTTAGGTCTTTGGGGCTTAGCACTCTTCTAAGAGCTTCCCAAACGAGACCCCTAATTCCCGAATAGAATAAGCCAAACTTAGTAACTAAGTAAGTCTTATATGACGCCGTATATCCCTAAACCTGCTGTGTACCCCATCTGAAGGGACCCACAAAAAACTAATTAAGTCCCTGTATAGCCCCCCAGATATCCTTCTATCTTTCCTGTAGACCTAACCCTAAACCCTAAACCCTAAATAGTAGTTGCCATTTTCTTTTCCATTATCCCAGTATAACCCCAATAGAACCCTTTAAAGGGGGCTAGAAGTCAGTCCACATCCAGGCCGACTACTCCGTGTGGAAGATCCCATCTCATTCGCACCACGAAAGCCTCCTGAAGCCTGGAGACGGTCCAGAGCTTAAGTGGGGTAAAGGGGTTTAGGGGTAAAGGGGTTAAGGGGTTAAGGGGTTTAGGGGTTAGGGTTTAGGGGTTTAAGGTTTAGGCTGTAAGGTTTAGGGGTTTAGGG